TGGGGACGCACATTTGATCCAGCTATTTCGGAAATGACAGGAATGCGTCAAATTCTGGAGATTGTGGAGTTTCAACAATGGGAACACCTGTTTGAAGAAAGAATGCCTCTAGTGTACGAAGATGTCGTACAAGCTTTCTACGCTTCTCTTTTCACTATTGAAGGGAACCACATCTGTGCTTTCGTAAACAGAGTTGACATTGTGCTAGATGCTTCAACATTTGGGCAAGATTCTCAGAATCCCGTGTGAAGGTATGAAATCAGTCAAGGATGTCTGTGGAGTAAACTTTCGGAGAGCCATTATGAAAGAGCAAGCTATTCAACAGGGGGAACAGGTTCATAAAAAGGTATTGCTTCCTGAGTACCAGCTTCTCTTTGAACTGGTTAATAAAGTACTCTTACCCCGCTCTGAGAGACGCTCCATTGCTACAAAGTCAGATTTGGTCCTGATGGAAGCGCTTGATGAGTTTGTACCAATCAACTTGCCAGCAATCATGATAGATCACATGCAAAAGGTGGCAAATTTTAAGGGTGTCAATCATGGGTTACCTTATGGCTTTCTCCTCACTCAAGTGTTCAGATTCTACAAGGTTCCCATGGGAAATCCTAGAGTGGGCACACGTAAGCAAACCTTTTCTAAGACCACGCTAGAAGAATGTGAATGCATAGAAAAGGTTGGTGGAAGCATCTCGACCATTTCTCAACTGATAAACGTCCAAAATGTAGCATCCGAGGAAATTCAAAGGCTGAGGGCTCGAAATGCCATTCTAGAAACACAGCTTAGCCAAGCAGCTAAGGGACCTGATTCTGTACATGAGGAGGTTGCTCAACTGAGAAAGGAAAATGAGAGACTCCGGGCTCAACTACTTGAAGAACAACTGGCTGCAAATGCTAGACTGGACTTGGTTCTCAAAACCATTGTTGTCTCTTCCTCGAAGCCTCCTTCTCTTAGTACTCCCTAGGATCCTCTCTGGTGTGTAGCTATTTTTGTTCCAATCCCATGTAGGTGTTGTTTTAGTGGTGTTTACTTGTTTTGTTTTTGTGTGATGACATGTTGAAATTAACCATTACTGCTCCTGACTTGGTCAGTCCACCGTAAAAATTAATGAAACAACTCCCCTTTCCTTGCATGTACAACACTTTGTTTCTCTGGCTTCTCTTTTCTGTTATGTTGCGTGCACATATGTGGCATGAGCTAGCTGTGTTAGACTTCTTTATGCTTATTATCTGCTGGTGCTCTTCTTTACTTCTATCCTTTTTAATGATGCCAAAAGGGGGAAGAAAGCTTAGATTAAGGGGGAACTTTCTTAGTGTGAGAATGATGGATATTTAGATTAAGGGGGAACTACTGCATCTCATCTGGTTATTTTTGCATCTCATCTGCTCTAAACAAATAGTGTCCATGCCTAAGTTTGTCATCATCAAAAAGGGGGATATTGATGATCTAACAAACTTGTTTTGATGTTTTGATGATCTAACAAACTTGTCATGAAGAGCCAGATAGAGCACCTCGCGCACAGGACATACATTTCATGTGAACTAATCGAAGCCTGAAAATCAGCAAAGGGAGAAACACAACAGGGACCTGATGGTCTGGCTCTTTAGGGTTCTCCGACATAAGCAAGTCAGTGACCGTACGCAATCAAGATAAAGAGGAACACAACAGGGACCTGATGGTCTGGCTCTTTAGGGTTCTCCGACATAAGCAAGTCAGTGACTGTACGCAATCAAGATAAAGAGGAACACAACAGGGACCTGCTGCTTCAGGGTTCTCTGACATAAAGTACAAGTCAAGTACACAGCTGGAACGTGACAGAAGAAAGTGATCATCTGGCAATTATCACAGAAGAGGAACACAACTAGGACCTGGTTTGTTGGTGTGTCCTGACAGAAAGTACAACGCCCACTATCCAGCTGGAACGCAACTGCCCAGAAGTGGATGTGCAGACTGTGCAGCAGTCACCTCTCACTGTGAGAAGTACACCAAGAGTTGACATCACTACTCATTGTGATATCTTTTGTGATAAAACAACCTGGTGCAAGACATACTTCCTCTGTGCATTCAGTGACATTCTCTCAAGCATAACAAAGTTCATCTAGCCTTGAAGTCACTGTGTGTGTCAAGAACAAGAAGACAACTCCACTAAGGATCAGCTTCTAATCGAGTCTTATGTACGTCCATAGTTGAGTTGTAATTTTGTTAATTGTTCTACATTGTAATTCCTAGTTTGTTTTCTTAGAAGCGCTATCTTAGGAACAAACCAAATTCGTAAACTTTAGAGTTTATGTTGTGACTAGAAATAGCCATAAGTTAAATCCTCTGTAACTAGGAGAGTTGTAGAGTGGCTTGTGGTGGTGCATCACAAGTTAGTTTGAAGTCTTTGCAAAAGGGAGTCTGCAAAGTGGCTTGTAATAGGTAGATTACAAGTTAGTTGAGTTTAAAGCCTACAGGTGTAGGTCGTGGTTTTTTAATCCCCTTGTGTGGGATTTTTCCACGTAGAAAATCTCTGGCCTTCTTTACATTCAGTCCTTACAGCATTCTACGTATCAGTCTCATAGAGGACCAGGTTCTCTATAGTTTGGTGGACTCACATAAGTCAACATCATCGTTCTTACTGCCCTAAGCCACCTCGAGGTCACCATCTCGAGGTCACTGCTGCTAACTAACATTGGTTTGATTTGCTTCTATCTTTCATTTCTACTTCATATTTCTTGATCATTAATTGGTATTGAACTGAATCACATATCTTTAAAATCACAAATCAAGTTTAATTGTTACCCGTATTTTTCGAGGTAAACAATGATATTAATCTCGGAATAAAAATCTTGAATATATTGATTGACCTGAGTTTTTTTTGTTCATATAGACCAGGCACACATTTTCATCATTGCACATATAAGAATTTAGAATGCATCAGAAACAAAAATCAGCAAGTAGAGAATTGAATGATCTTTTGTAAGAGATGGTGAAATATGGTTCTTTTATATAAATCAATATTAACTTTTCTTATTAGTTGCATCAATTCACCTCAAAGAGAGAATCATATCCATCCATGTCCATAGGAAGCGCTAGAATTGTGACTTTCTCCATGCTTTTGCCACATGAACTTTCAGATACATTCCTTATAATTGTCACCATTGTAACTGTTACAGTATTTTTCTTAAAAGTTTTTGAAATATATTTCAATTGAATGAAAGAAATGACTGAAAAATATCCTAGTTGATATCTTATATAGAAAGATATATCCAGTTGATAAGTCTTATGTTTTGAGCACATACGTTTGACATATTATTTGAATCTAAGATCCTTATTCAATATATTAAGAACATATTTCTTCCCCACTTATCATTCTCCTCTTTAACTGGCCATAACTACTTTATATATTTTTACTGGTAAGTTATTCCTCTCTTTTGTGATTCGGACTGCGAATTAGAATTATATTACGTGCAAAAGAAAAGAACCGAAAAGTAAAGTATGTCAATACTTTTTCTTTCAATTACATCTGAAATGAATTAAACAAATTTTATTATAAAGTAGTTGCTCGAAATTAAGAGGTTAATTCAGATTTGCTTGAGGCAGCATGTTCTTTTCTTGCAAGTTAGTAGTAAAGAATTTTAAGCATATGCAGTATGAATGCTGAGACGACATAATAGAATATATCTAGTTTAAAAAAAAATATATCGTGAGTGTTTTATAAGCTCACAACCTTCTACATAGTCTCTTCATGTTGCCTTAATCGACAAGAGTTAATGTATGTTAGTACATTAAAGGTGCAGGCTGAAAATATCCTTTCTTATTAATTATTTTCGATTAAACTATAAGATAATTCAAAAACTAATTATCAATTTATCACCTCTATGATCTTAAAATCACATACTCCACATCGATCAACGAATTAAGCACATTATATATGCAACTCCTGAAAATATTTAATAATAAAAATAACAAAATAAAGGAAGTAAAAATAAAAAGTTATCTTTTCGGATCAATGGATCAACTTCAAACCTCATTCAAGAGGAGGTTAGGAAGAAGAATTAAAAGAGAAGATAAATTTTGATCTAGGAAAGAACAGGACTATAAGAGAATAGGTGAGAAATCAATGCGCAGTCGGGCAATGTAAACAAAAATCTAAAAGGGGGTTGTATATTAAAAATTTCAGTCAGTGATCATCAAAATCGTCACCGGTTTTACACCTCAAAAATTAAAGTTTCAAAATAGCTACACCTCAATATTAGTTAGTAGAGAATCGACCTTTATCTTATTAATATAATAAATAAATAAAAAGAAATAAAAATACATAGCATTTTAAAAAATAACAATTGAAGGGGTTATACCTTAATATTTTAATTCAGCAGTTTGAAAGCTCCAAAAGTGCCCCATCCCGCAAGAACGAAGCTGAGCGTTTTCTTTGATCGGCACAAGTATTTAGAAAGCAGTAGCACACAACTTTATCATTATTGTGAAACACAGTTGCATTCAAAGTCAGGTTCCTTCTTAATTCATTAAACCACCAATGTCAAGAGCACAATCCGTCATCGATTTCATCACCTCACGTTGCCAAGTTAAGGTGTTCAAATGATCGTAGAGGCATGTTATGTATTTCGCCAATAATAAATGGTACAACACTATAGACTGCCCAATGAAATTTTGCTTTTATTGGAAAAACTTTGGAATCATGATTTTTTCATTGTAAATGTCATTGACCCTCTCTAATTTAGCTTTCCTACCAAGGCAAAAGAAATGTCTTAAGCTTTAAAAATATATTCAGTTTAGTCCTTACAAGCTGTACTGCATTTCTCTTTCTAGACTTTAGATCTGCTAATGTCATAGTAAAATTTATGAACTTTCAAGATCTTGTTATTTATCATAGTTTAAATGTATAAAGAATTAAGAACTCAATGTCTACCAAATTGTAGTTTTACAACCAATCTAAGAAACTCAGAAAATTTTCAAATACCACAGAAATGTGCTTACTTAAAAATTTATAAGCAAACAAGATGTTCTATAAATACTGATAAATATGCTTTTATAACATAAATACTTCACTGCTGCATTATGAGAATACAAGAATGACATAAAATACAACAAGCCTTTTCTTAAAGAATGAGAAATCCAATGATCAATCCTTCTTAGTACATTAAAAAGGGAAACCCGGTGCACGAAGCTCTCGCTATGCTCGGGGTCCGGGGAAGGACTGGACCACAAGGGTGTATCGTATGCAGTCTTACCCTGCATTTCTGCAAGAGGCCGTTTCCACGGCTCGAGCCCGTGACCACCTGGTCATATGACGGCAACTTTACCAGTTACACCAAGGCTCCCCTTCCTTCTTAGTACATTCTAAATTGCAAAAAAAAAATTACAAATGCTCTTTACCAGCATTTTCTAGACATGAAATTTACCATTTTCCTAATAATCATGTTCATACTTTGAGTTAGCAGCAGCTAATAATGCAGCTCCAATTCCAGATCCATCCTTTGAATGTTCTATCACTACATTTTTAGAAATTTCTGATCCAAGAAGTTCTGTGACAGCTTCTTGGAGGTATTCTCTGTACTGAGGATAGTGCTCATATAAACCTCCATCCATTGCTACGACTGTTCTCTTACCGAAGATTACGCCTTTTGAATCCTCCTCCATTTTCTGGAGAATCCCAACAATTCCAGCACCAGCTAGACGCCCCCCTCGTTTTGCAATAGTATCGCAAATGTCCACGACTGTTTTTCTTGCATTTAGATCAGATTTTACCTGAAAATCAATAATTGAAAGCAAATTCTGATCATCAAAAGTTTTGTACACTTTTTTCATGGTGCGACATTGACATTTTCATACACTGCATGACATGGAAAGCCAGTTTCTTACATCAAATGAAGAAAGGAAAGTTTCTTGTAGAGAACTTCTCGTGTTAGAGAAACTACATTTTGTATAATATTGGACTGAGACGTGCTAATGAGTGACATGGACTATGAGAACTTATATTAGCCGACCCTAACTTGCTTGGGATTTATGGACACTTATTAAGTACATGAAAAGAGAAGCTAAACCTATTTTTGGATGTTATCTTCAAAAATAGTTTCTTCATGAATCAATTATTGGACAACAATTATCCTATCGAGAAATAAACAAATAGCAAAAGTAAGTTAAAGGACTAGAGCTAATGAATATACCCCAGCTATATCATAGAGGACAGACTCAACAGCTTCAAGATCTCTGGATGTATCCTGCTGCATCGCACATATATCTGGTGTCCTATATGATGCAGATTAGACCGAGTGAGAACAAGCAGGAAATGATCAAACCAATTAATACCGGATATACAGCATAACAACAGGTATCAGTGATAGTATCAAAGTGTCTATTTCTGATAAACTAGCACTTATTCAGGATATGAACTTTAAGACCATCAAATCAACAGAAAGTTTTGCAGATTCTCAAAGTGTAGATATAACCGTAAAATGTAGGGTGGTTTCAACTTGTTAATGGAATAACGAGAATAGTTTCCAAATTCTGACATTCCCAACTAATACACACCTAACCTTTGTTCGTCAACTGCGGGTAGAACAGATGTAATTACCTCAGCACAAATGGAGTGACTAACTTTTCTGGAACATAGCCGCCACCAAATAAGCCGCCAACCCTGGCCATTTTGACCAGCACCCGTCTTACAATTTCTCCAAGGTACATTCCCGAGATTGTCTTCTCAAAAATCTTCATCAAGAAATATGACAATAGATAAGATCATGAACAAACACAGTGTGATTCCAAGTATATGAAGAAAAGAAAGTTCCATGTTTTGAGTCAATAAAACTTGCCTGCTCACCAGGGTTAATGCTCTCGGCATCCATTTCTCTGTCAAACTCAGTTAAAGGAAGGCCATTTGAAAATGCTCCCCATTCAGTATTCACAATCTAAAATAGAATCATGAATCAGATATTATCTCGAACTCAAAGGTCGCTAAAACAGCAAGCAGTTCATGAAAATAACTTGACAACATAATATTTTGGACTATACTTACTGTTACTGGAGAGTTGGACATCCTTTTTGGCAGCTTAGGAATAGTATCCACACGTTCTACGTAGCAAGCATTGGTTCCAGTCCCAAGAATGACGGCAACCATGACATCATTGTCCCAGTATCTCGCTCCGGCAAGTGTTGCTACAGTGTCATTGACCTAACTTGACAATGGACAGAAATCATCAAACATGAACTGAGGACACCCCAGGATATTCTCCATAGATTCTCATTACGCGTGAAGTAGAGTAGAACTTACCAGGGCAGAGACTTGCATACCCAATCCCTTCCTTTCCATGGCTTCATTTAAACAAGCAACGACATCTTTTCCTGCCTGTTCCACATTATGCAGGAATCAAAGAGTAATCCGCAAGTACAATAAAAATGATAACTGTAAGAGAGTAGCGAGACTAAGTTAAAAGCCAATGCTAAGGAACTCATCGCTACTAGTTCATTTGACAGTTTTGCAAGATTGTATTTTCTAATCTCCAATAATATTGGGAAGCCAGTATTCCCCAATTTGATCTCTCTAATTTACTTACTAATCAGTCATCACACTGTAATAAGTACTTCGCTAAGACTGTTATATCTGGAAAACAATTAACTCAATGTATGAAACACTCTTTGACAAGAAAGCAGAGTGACTTTAAGTCTCGAATGCTCAGTTTATTGAGGATGGAACTACAAAAATTTAGGAAAGAGATCATTCCCGTGCTTAATTCAAAGAACGCAAAAATAGTGGTTGGAAGTCTTGTTAGTGCTGGAAATTGATCACTGAAACTGAATTAACGCAGCATTGATAGAAAAGGTTTCATTTTAAGCTCGTTGGATTTCCAATAGGAAGCTTAGGGTTAACATGTTGACATTCATTCCGTTATTTTCATAATTGTCGTCTTAAAATTCCCAACTCCTCAGTTGGTGGCAACCATCTGAAATAAAATATTTACTCATGCCATAACTGGCCACTAAGCACAAAATATTTGTAACTGTACATATAGGCCAAATTAGCAAGATGTCTATAATCTGCCAATGCTTCAAACAAATGAGAAAATCAAGAAATACTAACAGTTCCAGAGACTGCAAAACCCTTTGTCCACTTGATTAGGATGCCAGAATTAACTGAAGTCTGCTTCACTGGGAAAGAAAATGTGAATCCTATTTCCCTAGTCCGTCCTTGTTGCATCTCGAACTTACCGCCTTCACTTTGTGAAAATTTTCCTAGTTCAGAAGCTATAAAATCAAACAGCTCCTGTAATAAACCAATGCACATATAAAGACGAGAACGAAAAAGACAGTACTGGTCAAGTTGCATTTTAACAAGAAAAACTAACCAACCTCAGAGGTGGCAAACATCAATTCTTGAGGTATAGAGACTTGCTCAAACTCAGTGGCGATTACGCGCTCTTCTTTACCACCTAACTGCACCCTTAACACTCGGAAATTTGTACCACCAAGGTCCAATGCATAGAACAAACCTTTCTCATTCCTTGAGAAATCATAAAATTTGGCATTATATAAAATAGCCTAACAATCAAACAAGTGAAGCAATGTAAACTAGGAGAAAGCTTAATTCTCTAAATCTTTACTTCCCTAAGAATTTGCCTTCAAATTAACAACAATAACATACACAGTATATTACACATATGGGGTCTGGGAAGGGTAGTGTGTACTTAAAGATAGAGAGGTTGTTTCCAATAGACCTCGGCTCAGAAAGATGGGGAGGAGAATTGCCTTCATGTTAAATTAGTGGAAATACAGGAAAATAAATATAGCAGGAAATAGATAAAAGACAATACTGGCAAAGTTAAATACTATAGTTGACAATAAAAAGAAGGTAAATTTCATTGTATGATATCTACTATAACAGTCAAATCACTAACTATTTTTTGTCGCATTAATCCATTTTAGCAATGAAATCACATAAATATTTTTTGTCACCTTAAAGTCACAAACTTCTTATGGATCAAATTTAGTTACTTTAATGTGATAAAATATATATATTCAGTAATCATATGTTAAATTAACCCAAATAAGAACACAAAACAGTCAACAAACAAGAAAAATATAGTAGCGTACCCAGTTGGTAAAGTGTCAACATAACTAAGGATCATCTTCAGATCACTGCCACCATCGACGGCAAGTCCGGCCCGCATATCAACGGCCATGGCATCAGCCACGTGGCACAAAACAGGAAGTGGAGTAGCACAGTCTTTCTGCAACTTAGTCAATATTGGTGCACTAGATCGGACGGCAGCCATTATGACACGTGGCTTAGTTACCATTTTAGTATGTGATCGTGAAATATGGAAATATCGGCCGGCCGGCAAGCTAACGGTGACCGACATAATTAACAGTGAGATCGAAAGGAACGTGTGACGGAGAAAAAGAGAAGAGGGAGGAGAACAATAAATGGTGATGTTGAAACAGAGAGTTTATACAGTTGTGAATCTTTAACACTATATAATGATGGTAAGTTTGAACAGTTAGATTTGAATAAATTAATGATGAAATATATGTAAGGATTTAAACGAAGAATATTGCTATACGACTTTTGTACGCCGTTATTGTTGCGTTAGAAGGTATGTTAGCTAAGTACCTAACTGTTCGTTACTTCCATAGTTGCTGTACTAATGTAGCAATCCACTATAAAACCTTTTTTTTCTTCGTCAACTTAATGGAGTAATTCTTTTATTATTTCTTTCCATTTTGTGGAAAACTATACTTTCTCAGTAATAAGTTATTCTCTTTTATTATTTCTTTCTATTTCTCAAATTAGATTCGAATTGTGAAGTATGCTGGCTAAAGTATATAAAATATACACTAATTAATAATTTTAGAATATTTTTAAAAATATGGTCAAAGAAAAAGTTTATGTGACTGTCTAAATAACAATAGTGTCAATGTTAAATTCTTATGATTGAGCTGAAATAATCATCAAATTCAGAGAAGAAAAGAAGCACTTCGAGAGGAGAAAACAGAGAATGAAATTTACATCTTCAATTGTGTATGAATTGTACTGTACAATGCTATATAACTACCTTCTAGTGTGACCAACTAACTAGTGCCAACTCATGAACAACTGTACAATTATCAGACTAATAAACTAACTACAGTTATAAGGTGACCTAACTATGGTTAAATTAAAACACATGTGATCTAAGGTACTGCATGCGTGGATATTTCCTTTACACCCCCCCCCCCTCAAGCTAGGACCACTGAAGATGTTCTTCGGTCCTAGCTTGGACACTAAATAGTCATGTTGAGATCGCCCAAGGCCCTTGGTTAGCAAGTCAGCTATACCTGTTTATCGGGCGGGCTGGGAAGGGTTGAACGGGAAAAAATCCAGCCCGTTCGTTTATCGGGCGGGCTGGTTAGCGGGCTGGGATAACGAGCTGGAGGCGGGTTGGAAAATTTCGGGTTATTTAGGGCCCGTTCGGGTTCGGGCTTAACGGGTTCGGGCGATTCAGGCTACTGTATTTTTTTAATTAAATTTTATTTTTCTTATTCAATGTTATTGATACTTAAGTATTTTGCAAACTTTTAAGGCTTAGAATTAAACTTTGAAGTTTAAAGTTTAAAGTTTTAAATTTGAAATTTGTATTTTAAAATTATAAAATTGAAATTAGAATGTACGTGGCTACAAAAAATTATTTAATAAGACCAATAGGGTAAGGAACAAACTCCGAAGGCTTTCATTTTATATTTTTAATACTTCAAATTAATTTGCAAGTTCTTTTTTGATTTTTTTAATTTTTGAACTTGCAAATGAAAAGTTTACAACAACTAAATAACTATAAAAAATAAGAAATTACTAATCACATATTTTGCATTATTTTTGTAAGTTCTTCCATGTCAACATGAGGTTCTAGGTTTCCGGCATTGGTTGAATCGGAACCATAAACCATTATATCTCCAATTTCTTGGTCCTCCTCTTCGTCTACCTCGGCACGCTCTTGATTTCGCCGTTCTGATCTTATCCAATCTCTGAAGCACACTAAAATTTCTAAAGCGTTGTTGCCTAATGAATGACGGGTATCTCCTAGCTGCTGCCTTGCTTGGCTAAATGCGCTCTCTGATGCGACTGTTGAAATCGGCACATTTAGCACGTCTCGAGCCATGACCAAAAGAACAGGAAATTGATTTGAGTTGCTCTTCCATCAACCCAGCGGTAGAAAATCCTTTGTGAGGGGCTCTAGTGACTTTTGCAAGTAGAATTGGAGTTCATCAATATTCCTACTACTGGTTTGTTGATGCTCTCCTAGTGTAGACCAAATCAGATAATCTTGAACACCATCATCATCATCCATAGTTGTTCCAGATGTTGAATGAATATTTGCATCTACAACCGAAGAAGCATCAACAATGTTAGCATAATAATTATATAAAGTTTGTAAATGTGTGTGTAGCTCAGAAATACAAGTGTCAATATCAGGAGTTTCAGTTGGTCCAATATCCATATAAGTATATAAAGCTCTAATTAATTGGCGATACTTTATCATTTTGACAGTAGGGTTTAAAATAGCACCAATTAGGTAAATATGGGGAATTGGGTAGAAATATTTTTTAAACTTATCTAGCATAGATTCAACAACAGTAGCATATCCTTCTTTCTTCTTCAAATTATGTAGTAAAAGAGAAATTTCAGCAATATGAACTAAACCATTTGCAATAGTAGGATAATAAGCTCCAAAAAATTCAAGTGTAGCCACATAAAATTTTTGTAATAATTGTACAAAATCATGAATGACATCCCAAGTTCTAGATGTTAACAAACGGCTAGGATCGGTACAATGAGAACTAGCAACTTCAGTTATAGGCATTCTATATTGATAACAACATCTTAAGAATAAATAAGTATAATTCCACCTAGTAACTATTTCTTCAGGCATGAGTCTTGGTTTTAGTCCATAGTCTACATATTTTTCCTTAAATGCATTTAATCTAACACTTCTATTATTTCCTTGAATTACACCAACAACTCTCCTAACTAAAGTAATTTCATCTCTAAATAATTCAAGGCCACTCTTCACAATCAAGTTATAAATATGACATGCACATCTAACATGAAATATTTTAGGAAGTAGTGGGTGTAGATACAATTTTAATATTGTAATAGCAACATTGTTGTTAGAAGCATTATCAAATGACATACACAAAATTTGTTCAGCAAGATTATAAAATATAGCAACTTCATGGATAGTATTACTTATAAATTCACCAGTATGACTTTGATCTTCATCATATTTAAATGCAATAATACGTTTTTGCATACAAAATTATCATCTATCCAATGGCATGTAACAGTCAAATAATCATTTCCATTTACAGCACGACCAATATCAGAAGTAAGAGAAACTTTACAAGGAAGACTTGCGAACAAATAACGTATATATGTCTGATATTGTCGAAAAAGCCTAAAGATATCAGTTCTACAAGTACTTCTAGGAATACCTTTAAACATAGGGTTATAACTTCTTTGAATATAAGTAACAAGATACAGTGAAGAAGCAAAACTAAAAGGTAAACAGCCTAAAACAATCGTTTTAGCTAATTCTTCCCGATCTTTCTTAATATCGTATTTACCAAATAACCCCCAGTACTCGGGTTAAGTTTTTGATGCCCAGATTCCTCATCTACTCTCCAATCAAGAGGGTGTTTCTCTTCTATATTCCTACAAGTTGACCCGTTCCCCCTCCCTTACCGGGCTCATGTTTATAATGTTCACTTTAAATTTTACATTTTACATAATTTTTTTGATCTTCTAGTCTTTCAAAAAACATCCAACACTTACTTCTTAATCGTTGATTCTTCTTAATAGGGAGAGGAGGTGTCACGACCCTAAATCCAGACCCGGTCATGATGGCGCCTCTCGTGAAGACAAGGCCAGCCGACACAAACTCCAAGTTTAATTAACAGATATAATGATTCATAATCAAGTCATTAATAATGATAATCCCAAAACAAAGTAAAAATATATCAACTGCGAAAACAAAACACAGCCTGACATCGGGGTGTCACCAGTCATGAGCATCTAAAATCCGACTAAGAGTATGAAAAGACAACATAGTCTATTACGAAACTAAGGAAAATGAAATAAAAGTAGGAAGGAGAAGCACTGGGCTGCGAACGCTGAGCAGCTACCTAGTCAACTCCAAACAGCCTGCTGGAAGCAAATCAACCCTCGCTAGCGTGACCTGAGACTCCTGAATCTGCACACAGAGGTGCAGGGAGTAATGTGAGTACGCCAACTCAGTAAGTAATAAAAGTAAAGGCAACTGAGAGATAAGAAAAACACGTAAATACACAGCAAAATGCTACAGCGAGGCAGTGTAAGACCAACACAATACAGTAAACAGAAAAAAACTCATAAAAACTTCTTAATTCAGTAAAACCATTTAAAAACACCTTTTAGCAGTTCAAACGAGTGAATGAAAACCAATATAAAATATAGAAACAACAAACAACCCCTCGGGCAAAATACCAATAGAACCAGCCCCTCGAGCTATCTCACAATCACTCGTATCAGCCCCTCGGGCAACAACATGGAACAACATCAGCCCCTCGGGCTATAGCACATCACAAATTGTGTACCCGCGCTCACTGGGGGTGTACAGACTCCGGGAGGGGCCCCTTACGGCCCAAGCGCAATAATAAGCCATCTCGTGGCATAATCAACAGGCTCTCGGCGGGGGCCTGCGCTATAAGTCACAAGGCAACGGGCTCGTGGGCATAATTAAATTCTTGGACCTGGCTCCGGGCCTGCTGATATATGCACAATCTAGCTACCGCAGAACAGTGTTTGGGCGGTGGGCAACCCGATCCGCATATTGTTTTATTGCCTGCCCACACATCAGAGGCCCTCGGCCTTTAATCAGTTACTCAGAATGGTCACAAGCGCAGCACTGGGGGCAATTAGTAAATACATGGTGCTCAGGCCCAAAATGCATTTAAAATGTGCATAAAACGAGTAAAGATGGCTGAGTTTGTGAAATATAGAGAATTAGCATGACTAAAAAAATACATAAGTTCACAAACCAGTGAGAATGTAGAAAAATCTTACACACAGCGTCATTGCATTCAGTCAGGCAATAAATGATGATAGGCAAACAATTTTCAATCAATTACGCAGTTAACAGTCATACTACGGACTAAGTCACAATCCGAACGCTGAGCGACCACGGCTCTTACATTAGTTCGCGTAGTGCACCCTCAACAATAGCAACAAGCGTGTGATTCCGGGGTTGCATAGCCCTCAAGACAACATTTACATCATTACTTGCGCTCTAATCCGGTCCAATCTCTAGGCCGGCGATGTCTTTGCGCTGCTGCGCCTCGGCCTGCACTCGCTGTCGAATCTATCAAAAAATGCAGAATTAGCGACGTTCAAAATAATGGCTTAAGGGAGCAACAGCGCGGCACGGCAAAAATTAATAAGATTACGAGCACGATATGGGCGCGAAATAACTCAAACGCGGCCCGGCGCGAGCATCTTCGGAATCGCGACCAAACAGCTATACATCAATGGAAGCGCCTTGATCTTCCGAGCGAGTTCATTCATATTCAAATACTCTACTTCTGGTCAAAATCCGAGCGGCTACCAAAGTATGGACGGCTTCATAATCCTCAATCATGAGACGCTAAATT